AGGACAGTTCGATTTGATTTAGATGGCAAGCGATGAATATGAACGCTATTTTTCGTTGATCCATGAATTGAATAAACAAACATGCTTGACGTTTAAAAAATAACATTAAGTCGAAACGCTTAGATCGTCAAATTCAGCGCTGCAAATGTTTGGCCAGTTGAAGACGTCTTGACATATTCTCATTTGATCGATGACCCGTAGGCTACAGAAATTGCAGCATCCGTAGCATATCAGTTAAAACTCGCTGTTCCGTGATATATTCCATATTCTTACTGCTGAATCTTCGTCAAGAATGACACAGTATTATAAACTGGTAATTGACACTGGAGTACGTGACCAGATATCACTGCTCACCGCCCTTTGCGTAATCATACGGGCAGGCAAAGCGAACGTGTGCTAACTAGTCTACATGAAATGAACAGATGACAGTATATTTCTTGCAATGGCAAATAATCGTGCTTCACTGATCACGTGAGAAGTTTCAAAGTTTCAAAATTTCTTCAATTCAGCCACTTAACAACGTTCAGATCTAAGCTTCGAACAGTTGCACGGAATGAATGTGTACGTAGCAGTTCGATTTCCTTCTCTGTCAAAACAAGCAGACACACCAGGGTTAGCATGAAAAACTTTGAATGAAAATCAGTTAAGTCCGCACAACTGTCTGCCTCAGCTCTGCATCGCCGAATTAGAATTTCCAGAAGATGATTTTCTGAAACCCTTATTCAATGTGTTATGCATTTTTCATAACCAGATTCAGCCACTAAAAATATCACTGATGACATGACATTATCCAATCATATTTTCACCAAATGAATGCGACCAGTATTCTCTGGCGACTACGACGAATGGCAGATTTTCAATTTCACCGCACGATGTTCCAAGTAATTTCGTTTTAATTTACTTTCACTTTCAAGGCGTCAGTATATCACTCTATTGCCTTTTGACGCCTAATGGAACTAATGGAGCCAGACACGGCTCCAAGGTGTTTAAATGCCAGTAGTGCATAAATTAGAGAATCGCATCTCTGAGTTTCCAATTTCGCTTGTGAAATTATCCCAGAACATCATGGACTGCTTCAGGTTATATAAATGTTCAAAGACAGTGAACTGTAATTGATGCTATCTACACACATTTATTCAACCCAAGTGAGAGATGCCCAATCACAGTGAGTGGTTTATCGGTAAACGAAAGGTCGTCGCTGTCAACAAAAAATATCTAATACACTTGCTCCTTTTGCAGTCTCTTACATTCTACCTGTTCTTCTCAGAGGGGCGTCGACGATTAATTGCTGTAGACCCTACTTTTATGCTTTGATGATTTTTATGTTGTTAATAACGTACTTTTCGATCACGTAACATTAACATAGTAGCCATTGCTGTTAAATTTTGGTTGCAATGCGTGGTTGAAGATGTTCCGGTGCAATCTTGTGGCGTTAATTGTTTGAAGTCTGTCAGAATATTGATAGTAAAAAATGTGTGACGTCTTACTTGTAGTTGAATTTATTTATCCCAGCGGCGAAGTGTCTCGGCTGCTTCCCGCACCTGTAAATATTCCTGTCGTCCTCTGGAAGAAGGTCGACATCGTGGAAAATGAAACATGAAAACTTTTCGGCGCTCCGTTCAGCGTACAGAAAACCAACGTTCGTCAGTAAGCCTTTGTTGAAGGTTTGATTGGCTATCTGAAAGTCGACGTATTTTAAATTGCTGCTGTTGCAGTCACCATCGTCACTATCACTACAACCGTAATCGCTGCAATTGTCATCATCGCAATTTTTGCCAGAAACGTGTGCATACCTGTTCGACGATGAAAATAGTGTATGAAGCTTCTTGATTTTCGAGAAAAGGTATTATGTTGTAAAGGAAGGTTCTGAGATGACTTTCTCTGTCGCGATATGGAACTATTATGGCAACGGAGTAGTTAGCGTTTCTTTTGTACGATTCGAATTTTCCGTCCGGTGCAAATCTTGAAAAAATGCGATCGAGTGTAGCGAAGCTTGGAGATTCTAACGACGCGGCAGTCTCTGAAGTAGCGACTAGTGAAGGAACCATGTTTTACAAGACTGTTTACTTTGAAAAACGAAATCTTCAGATGATTGAACCGCCGATTCACTGTTAATGGTCGTTCTGGCAGCTGTAGACGTGGCTGCAAGCGAAAGATTAAAATCATATTTGGCCCCGAAATGAAATCGTAAATTATTCTCCTTGACTTGGTTGTAATTGTTTTTGTAAAGCCTTCCAACAGTAGGGAGAGTTCGTCTTTCTTCAAAGGGGCCTAAACCAAATTTGAATCACTGTGACATAATCAGCATTATCTTAGTTTAGCCGTTTAGTTTTCGTGTTAGGAAAAACATTCTTGACATTTCAGACTTTGCATTTTTTGCTTTAGAGGTAATCGCAAATATATGGAAGGAGTCTGTTCCAGATTCCAGTTGTCTTCTGTCGAAGCTCAGACTCTGGCACAGGATCTTTGACGTTGGAAGCTCTGTTTGACTCGTCTACCTCCACGACCCGAAAGGAGAAGCGGCCATGGAAAATGAAAAAGATGAAGGTAATCCAAAGTATTTATATGTTGATGTTTTCGTTCAACGAAAACAAAAGTAAGGTTTTTCGTTCAGTCGCAGTATGCTAGTAAACCCAGGAGATGGCGTTGATTTTTGTATATAATTGCTTACGTATCGTGGTATGTCCGCAGGTATTCCAACAAGGCTTTGTTCGGCTCTGCCTACTGATGCGGTTTTGTAACGATCATCTCCGTGTGCTCAAATGCCATGCAGCCATGGGCTGCTTCATTCGTCCCCTTAGTAACTAGAATCAAAGGGATGTTCCGTTACGCCTCTTTCATCGAAAGTGCTTTTTGCTTTAGTTTGCATGGTTTTTGTTAGTAACAACGCCGTTGCCAGTCATCCCGGTTGAAAAAGGAGGAGGGTGGAGAGAGTGGCAAGTCTTCGTAAAATGTAGCCATCTGCCATTCATGGTATTGACGCCATCGAAAGTTTTACCGGCTCGGCCGTCGCCCGGGATACCAAGGGCTGCGCAGGCTGTTGGAGGACTGAGGCAGACTGCGAAAAGTCGGCGATCAGAACCTGCTCATTGCCCTCTGTCAGCCGGGGGGCGCGGCAGCACAACGACGGCTGACGAAGACCGACGGAACGACGACGAAGATACCAGTCAGCAACGGAGTCGCT